CAATCCAGGGTTATCTAGGATCCTCTCTTATATGACCCGAACAATAGTATGTTTTATCCTTACAATAGGACTGTATCAAAATGGGGTACCAAGTCGGTTGCTCACGCCCATATATATAGATTACAGTGATGAAAAAAAAAGTTCTTTTTTCCTAGATTTTCATCACAATTATTAAAAAAGGAACATGTCATCTTCACATCATTTTACTGAATCACCAACATTTGAATATAGCATACCGTTGAATAAACGAATTGATATACCTATTCGTTCTTTATCAAATTCTTCTAACTATCAATTAGATGAGCAACACACTCAAAATCGAATTCATTCTAAAGATACAACACTACAATGGATTAATGATCCGACAACCGGTAATGAAAAATTTCGTATAAAAATTAATATTGAAGGATTTAATCAAAATGAAGTAAACATTTTTCTTTCGGATTTATGTTTTTTGTTTTTGCAATTCGTATATTATATAATTAGGTTCGTATTCGTGTTGATGGAAATAAACTTATTGTATATGGTGAACGTATTGAAAACAAAAGTCAAGTAAGAAATTGTTTCAAAGAAATTTAATTAGATAGATCTTTAATTTTAGGGCATATCAAAAAAATTAATTGAAAAATTTTATGAATTACCTCCTGATGTTGATACATTCAGGTAAATTCATATTTATCCTTTAAAAATAAAACTTTTTTTTTTTGTAAGTTCACAAGTTACTTTTCCATCACCAGTAATAATGCAAGTCGATTTTTCATCAAAATATTCACCAACTCGATTTGTTCGATCAAGTCGATATTCATCACCACAACAATTCAATGATAGTAACGCATTTTCAAATGCCTATATTCATTCTTCTTATGGCAAACTACCTCATGAAATTCGAAATAGTATTACTAGTCATACTTATCGAATTCCAATACGTCAATTATCTAATAATTCGATAGATTCATCACGATTTCCTGCACGTTCAATTAGTCCAACGTATCAATTTCGTCAATCAATTAATGAACCTCAAATAAACAAAAATAATGCTACATATCAACAAACTGTTACAGAAACACATCGTGAAACACATCGTCAACGATCAAGTCCAACAACAGGAATTCAATCATCATATGAAAGTGAACATCAACGTTCAGGTAGTCCACTATTATACAATACTAATGAAGATCATTTTCAATCAAATATTAATTCTAATCGTCAGAGTATGACACCATCATTGTCATTAGATACTAGTAGTAGTAATAACAATAATGAATCGTCAGTTTTTCCTCGAGATTTTAATTCCGATGTTTTTTATCAAAGTGTATTTCAACCACAAATATTTACTGATGATCGTAATCGACGATATATAGAAATGAAACTTGATATGTATGATTATAATCCAGATAAAATTCGAGTATCTATTAATGATAATGATCTTACTGTTCAAGTTGAACAAACGAATTTTTATAGACAAATAACATTACCATCAAATATAGATCTATCAAGTTTATCAGTACATTATCATTATGATAGAAAACTTTATATAACAATTAAATTACTTGATGAATATTCTTCTTTTAAATATATTTAAAATTGTATTTTTGTTTTTAAAACTTTTAAATAAATATGCAGTTTCATTTTCTTTTTTTTGGCGCAAGAATTTTTAAAATCATTTCTAGATGGAAAATATCAATACTGATAATGAACAATATCAATCAATACTTGAACCATATCTTTCAATACCTAGTAATTCTGATGAATATACACAAAAACTTTATGCAAATTTAAGTGAAATAAAAGAAAAAATAAATGTTGACGAAACACAAATGTTATTTATTGCTCATCGTTATGAACAAACTGGTCGAATACCATGGAATATAATGTCAAAACGAG